TGTGTGTGTGTGTGTGTGTGTGTGTGTGTGTGTGTGTGTGTGTGTGTGTTTGGGGGTGGTGGTGGTGGTGATGAATGTAATTATTCATCTAAATTTGTTCCCGAGTCTAGCATACTGGGAATAGCAAATGCAGTATCCACAGTCATTGTTTGAGTGGCGCAGCCATATAGATTATTTAAATAATTAATACAAAAATAAATTTCATTTTTACTAATTTAATTTATATGATAGTTATATAAATTCCAATGTTTAGACTTATTTCAGGTCTTAGTTCACAAAAACAGTTGTAAGCTAATGCTTGCTTACTTGCTACATTGGGACTAGATCGGTGATCAGCTCGATTTTTCAGCAGTCTATCATCCCCTGGTAATTTCTTTGGTTCATTATATTCTGTCCAAGGCATCTGAGGGCTTTCAGGTGATCCATTCTGAGCAGAATTGTTATATAGCTCAAAACCTTCACTCTTTGGACGGGGTTTACCTGAGCCACGGCGATCTGAAACTGAACAATGAATATGTATGAGAGAGAGGGAGAGACACAGAGACATAATAATTTGTCTGGTCTGCAATGAAGCTAGAAGAGATTCCATTTCTAAATTCTTCTTTAACCTTTTTCATATGTACAGTTTCAAAAAGCAAAATGTAAGTAGAGTCAGGCAGATACAAAAAAATTAGCTACAAATTTGCTTGGATTTCCTAGTCCTATAGAACTCAAATGGAATGCTCTATACCAGAGGTCTCATTCTCGCGGGCCGTGGGCCAATTGCAGCCCGCAGGACGATATCCTGTGGCCCCCCACCGTGATATGAAAGTATAATATTAGTGTATAATATAAAGTATAATATTATGCGGCCCAGACTCTGCCTCCAGCGGCCCCCAGGTAAATTGTGTTTGAGACCCCTGCTCTATACTTTCTTCAGTCTATACTACCTACACAATGCTCCAGGTTATAATTCCTAGTTTCTTACTAAAACTATAACCATGTTTTTTAGTTAGAAAACATCATTGAGAGTTTCAAGAACAGCTAAAATTCACCAACAGTAGTAGACTACACAAATTGACTTCAGACTAATTTTATACTAAATAAGATCATTAGAAAAAACAGACATCTTTTTATAAAACCTCTTAACATTCAAATTGCTTTACAACACAAATCTCTATTTTTTCATCAAATCATTATAATCCCCCTTTAAGAGCAACAAATTGAGAAAAGAGTGTTGTTATTATTCTGAGGATATAAATCCCACTCAATTAAGAGGGCAATCCTACATGGAATGCTAAACATCCCATTGAATTAATTCTAAGCATCCCATTGAATTCTGTAAGTTTTTAAGAGTAAACAATAAGGTGCTTGCAAAGTAATACTTGCAAGTCCTCTCATGGATGTTCAAAAGCAGATAGTAGCAGGTTAATCCTGAAAAAGCTTTCCAAGATTTTTGTTTGTACCAAATGGAGACCACTGGAAAATTCTCCAATAGTATGCTAATCTGGAACATTGAAAAAACTTCTTAGAAAAAGGAGGTGGCAAGCCAATTCCATATCATTGCTTAGAGCAGAACTTAACTAGCTCTATAAGGTCATTTAACCTTCTTGAGGGAGAGAACAATTAGCATATCAGATCACATGCTAGGTACTTGAATATGCCTTATTTTTATATTAATTTTTCATGTAGATTTTATCTGTGGACAAATGTATTTTAGTTGTTTACCTCTTTGCATCATTGGAGATGGTTGATTTAACAATGTTGCTAAACCATGGTAAATTGCTCCTTGTTTTGCCACTTCTAGTGTGACGACTGATCCTGTTCTTGTCATCAGTTCTGCGGCTCTGAGTAAGATTTGGAAATAAAATGGTGAGTTTGCAAGAACCAGTAATAACAAATTATTGTAGAGCAAATTCGAAGCATTTAGTCAGTAGAAAAATGTACACAATGGATATAAATAAACTATTAAAAGGAATCCTATAGAACCATTTATAAAATAGAAAAGAAACATAAGAAACACATTAAATCCTAGTAAATAATTTTGTCATTTTAGCAAATAATTTCTATCTGGCTAAGTTTAACAGGAAAAAAATCAGAATGTTCTTGTCACTTTGGGTTTTGGCCAAAGCAAAACTTCCAAGGACCCTGGAATAATTTTAGCAAGGAAGTACAAAGCATACTTTCTCTCTGTTTCTGTTGCTTAGAATATTTCACTAGCCTGTGCATCTCTTGATCTTCCCTCTCTTTCCTGTCTCTCTCTCTCTCTTTCCTGTCTGCCTTCAGCTATAGTTACTGATGCCTCTGGCACTTTTCTGTGCTCTTCCCTTTGGTCCCAAAAATTCTGCCTGAAACAAGTTTGAAACAGAAACAGAAAAGCCTTTTTCCATTCCATATCTACATAAAATTTTCTAATATTTGAGTACAAACCACCTGAAATCAAATATTAAGTTTTTATTTGCCATAATTATGTGCCTAAGACTCATTTATAAGCAATGGTGTTTGCACATTAGGAACAAGAACTGATTTTTGGGGCACTATGTTTTAGTTCTAGTGAGCCCCTTTGGGTTCTGTAAGGAGTATCATAGTAAAAACAAGTGGATTATGCCATATCTTTTTCATAACCCAACAAAAAGAACTTATTTATATACTACTGAAATGTTTGTATCTGTTTTGAACAGAGGTAAATGCTGCTTCATAAGGGAAGGGAAAGGAAGGGAAAGGGCAATTTCTGATGCTCATTGCCAGCTTCCCACAAGGAATATCAATGGGGAAGTCGACAGGAAGTCAGAAGTTGCTCCCATTCCCACTGTATTTTTGCTCACGTTGTCATTCTGTTCTCTTTATTAGGTAAGAAAATGAAACAATGATCCAATAAGTTACAATTTGTTTAATTGTCCTTAAAATTCTAATAGTGATACTACAATCTGCAATACAATGCTCAAGTATATTACTCAGTAATATTATATCTTACTCATTTTATAACTTCCAGAAATACTGCAAGCTACAACGGTGCTTAAAAGTTTGTGAACCCTTTTGCTGTTTAATTATTTTTTCATAAATATGACCTATGACCTTGAGTTCCCACTCAAATCCTAGGAGTCACTATCAGGAGAACACTGAATAACAATAGCATGCATGGAAGTGTTGCAAGGGTGCCACTATTCTCAGAAAAGAACACTGATACTTGCCCACAGTTTGTGAAAGACCCTGTGGAAAAGCCAACCTATTGGAAGTACGCTCTATGGATGGATGAGACTAAAATAGAACTTTTTGGCTTAAATAAAAAGCATTATGTTTGGCTAAAGATAAACATTGTATTCCATCATAAGAATTTTTACTCCATGTGTAAAACAGTGTCAACTCATAAAACATTTTGTGTACATGTTTTATAGTTGACAACAAAAAGAGGGTGGGTGGGGGGGTTCAAAGAGCAGGCAACACTGTGAAATTGAAAGTACATTCTGTTCATATTTTCTTCAAAGACTGATTAGATGGCTGAAACTTCTGCCTAGAAAAAATCTAATTGGAAAGTATGATTGATGACTCTTGGCTATGGACGTTTTTTGTTGGATGATACACCCAGAGGGGTGTGGGGTGGGGAAACAGGATCAAGGGTGACAGTGAATTACGTATCTCAGAGTTGGCTATGCCCAGGTTAGTGCCGGACATAGAATGTTAACTTCAAATAAATCCTCTTTAATTTTGGGAGAGTGGCTCAAGGCTCATGATTTAATTGGAGTAACTGCCAGAATCACACAGTGGCAGTATGAAAGCAGTTTAAGCCTGCTTTGCTACCTCTGGACAGAAATGGCTTGCCATCATTGACGGAATATAAATTTTGAATTGTACCAGTAAATTCTATTGAAATCTTAATGTAGTGGTTAAGGTGATTAAAAGACACTGGAAACAATAAGTTGCTGCCCACATACTTCCGTTAGACACAAATTTGTAGGGTAGCTTTGGACCATTTTCCATAATAAATGAGGAAGTATAATTTGAAAAATCAAAAGGGTTCACAAAGTTTTAAGCACAATCATATATGGATGGAATGGGACAATTCACTGCAGGCAATTCCATGTGAGATAACTCAATACCATAAATGTTATCCTCCACTGTTTCTTTGACATTATTGTCAGAATAATGACAAAGAAATAATGTCAAAGAAACAGTGCTACATCTATAGCATTGAGTTATCCCACATGGAGTTAGCTATGGTGAGTTGTCCCTTGGTGAGTTGGCCGCAGCAAGATGGGCACAACGAAATGGCTGCGGCAAGTTATTCTAGGCCCTATCATATATATCTATACTAAAAATGTTCTGCGTGAAAATGATTCATTTCAGCCCTTGTGGTATGAGCAATAATATATTGAGCTATGATGGAGAAACATAAACTAGGTAAGAAGAAAAAATACAGAAAACAAACAAGTCACTCCTGTTTTACATCATGTACAAATCTCTGCTACTATGTTTACAATTTCCAGAGAGTATGATATACCTTTCTTGAGAAAGTCCAACCAAACTGCGCCCATCCACACTAAGCAACTGATCCCCTGCAGCCAATCGACCATCCTGGTTACATATTTGACAAAGTAAGAGTTCCATTATTTCACGACATGAAAACAGATTTCATGCAGTTTAGAAATATTTGAAATTAAAACACTAAACAATTTTTTTACAATAATTACAAATAATACTAACCACATCTGCAGCACCACCTTTTACCACAGATTTGACATAGATGCCAAGTTTATCTTGACCAGCACCCTAAAAAGATATGAAGCAATTTAAAAAATATATAAATGCTAAGGCTATAATCATAAAGACATTTTATAGGAGAGTGGTCTAACTGATTTAGATTCTCTTATTTACAAATATCCATCGAATGGATCACAATGTAATTTTTTGAAGCAATCTTAGGAAATATATTTAACTATAAATGTATTATAGAATATAATGCATTTACTATAACACACTACAGAAGACAACACATTTTTAGCAACAAAGTAAAATAAGTAGCACTGCTTAACAATGACTGGTGAGAAATCAAGCTAGCAATGTCTGGAGAGGTATATTCCAGCAATATTTTACACACTTCTACAGAATTTACCATCATCTTATGCATCATCTCAATGTCAGCAATAAAGCCATCTCAAGTACCATATGTATAAAGCATTTTACAGACTTTTAAGAATTCTAACAAGGATAGCCACTATTTCTGTTTTTGTATTTCAGATTGGAATGAAAGAAATTGCATATCTGGAAGTCAGTCTATTAAATTTGAAGGTAAATTATTCCTAAACGTAATGATTTCCCCTGTCCGGTCATATCCAACTCTAGTAGGCAGTGTTCATCTCCATTTCTTAGCTGAGGGAGCCAACGTTGCCCATAGCCAACAGCACTACCTGCACTTAAGTCAGACCTTTGGCAACTAACTGTACTGTATTTTTTATTCTTTTGGTTATGGACATCAAGTATGAGAAATTTCCTTTACAGAAGCTGGGGTGCAAATAGTAGCATTTGCAATAGAGTTGCTCCTTCCTCCAGCAGAGGCCAATGCAAACAATTAATTCCTGACAGTCTGAGGAGCTTAGACAACCTATGTACATGTTTCTAACAATGTTTCTAAGTTAAAAAAAAAACTCTGAATGCATTTAGTCTAAAAATGGTATATGTTATCTGTGATGATTGTCTTTTTCCACAGAGTATACAGCTTTGGGAAAGACACCTGTGCAATGGTGGAGAAGAAAGGGAGCAAGTAAATCACCTGAACCAACTCTGATGATGAATGGATTGACCATTTTCACAGAGAAGTTATTCACAGCCACAAGATTAATCTATTTGTTAAAGGTTTTCTAATAGCTGTTACCACTGGAATATATCAACTCCCATCATGCTTTGTAGTCACATTTCATTTAAAATAATGTTCAATCAGAATAAGATTCTGCTTTCCTTAAACATTTTGACATTTCAGGTGAGTACAATAAAAAGATCATCCTGCAGAATTACACAAAACTCAGCATTTAATAAGCATATAAGGAGAAAAGAGTTCCCTGCAGCATTCTTTGAAGATCAATGAAGAATTATCTCTGCAGTACTTTATTGGAAATAGGGAACATTTTGTATTTGAAGAGTAGTGCATCATAACAATCCTGGTAAAGCTCACAGTACTTTAAAGAGTTGCTGATAAGGCAAGTATATGAGCACCTCTACATCCTACAAAATGATTTTTGTCATCAAATCCAAAATACAATATTATACAAGCTTAACAGCCTTATCCCTTTCATTGGAAATATTGCATGGTAAACGTTAATTAACTCAGTTGCAGTGGAGTGGGCAGAGTAGAACAAGGTTAATACTCATAATTAGAAATCTCATGTGTAACACTGGAGATGAATTCCAAGTAGCTGGTAAGCTAATAGCCAGAGGAATGTTTTAATATTGCAATGAAAAAAAAATATTTTCATGAACACTCAGCAATTCAAGCTACAAAGAAACCAGTTGTAAAGGTTTTTAAAAATTACTCCCTCCAGAACTAAACCAGAAGAAAATATAATTCCACTACATTTATAAAGTCCTGATATATCCCAAAACATAATCAAATTTATTCATAATAGCCCCTTATAAATGGTAAAGATTCTTCTATTAGATATTTTATTAATTTCCTATTTCTTCCTAATAATCTGTACAGTATAGGTAGTTTTTAGATGATGAAAAGGAGTACAGAGGAAGCAATTCCAGTGAAAATGGCCTGCCTCCTCCCTCTGGTGAGTGGTTACGTTACAAATTTTGAGGAAAGTCTTATTTCTATCTGATGAATTTATCTGCTTCCCCCAAGTGTGTGTACAATTGTCACTTATCTCCGAGACAAAAAAGTGATTAAATACTCTTATTTCCAGCTTCTATGTTATTTGAGAGAGGCTACTAAACAGAATGTAATAGTAACTGAAAATTTTAAGTGAGACAAATTGAAAGGAAAAGTAAGACAAATCTTACTTTAAAGAAAATTAAATGGGATCAAGCACTTTAAAAAGAGGGAAGGTTTAGAAGTCAAGTGCAATTGTATCTTTTTTATGAATTGGAATAAAAAAAGAGCTTCAGCTGTGAATATTAAACACAATTATTGTGGGTATATATACACATGCCTACAAATAAGCATGCCTAACATTATGCTGTTTCCTAGTTATACTGTTCCATACCTAAAACTACACAGGAGACAGATAGACATCTACACACACACACACACACACACACACACACACACTCACACAGAGATAGAGGGAGGGAGGGAGGGAGAGAGGGAGGGAAAGAGAGAGAGAGAGAGCGCACAGATAAGGTTAAGCCTTTTTGTTTGGCTTTTAAAGATTATTTAATATAAAATAATTTTCAAGTTTCCCATTTAATTCCTCCCCACCCTTTTCTCTACAATTTCAATCATTTTAAACTGATTTTTTTTCTTCACCCTTTCTTTGTAAAAGCAACTGAAAACAAAGAATAGCAAATGTGATCAGATAACATTGGTTGTCAATCTATTAAATAACCTGTTAAGACATTTTAAAATACTTTTGCTTTCTAACATCAGAATCAAATAATGTCATGCTTTCTAACATCGGAATCAAAATGATGCCAACATTTATTTTACTTACATGAAAATTTATGAAATGGGAACATTGCAGTCTATTAATTCTTTTATTTATTAATGTCAAATACTTCAATTTTTGTATATCCAGGATTTAAATGCACTTCCATTTTATCAAGTAACATGAAAAGTGCTTAAATTAGATCTGATCTTTCAAACTTAATATAATAATGGTTACTTACAAGTTACAGAAATTAAATCCTGCCACTGTACTTTTCATTTCATATCAGATAACAGGAACAAGCTTCATGTACAAATTCATTTGCTTTTGTAATGCCATAGCTTCAAATAGATAGTAATGTTATAAAAAGAGTGCTCTAAAAATTCATTTGGCTAACAATTTTAGATTAAATAGAAGATTAGGAAGAATATTAAAACTATAAGTTTACAAGGAAACTTTCTCTGTAGAGACTTACCAAGGATTCTGTTCTTCCAACGACTGAAAACCACATTATAACTCCAGAAAATATAACTCCTCACTTGTTTCTTAGATTTTAACCACAACTTTCAGTCTGCTAGATTTTCCAAAACACCCAGCAGGATAATTTGGCCAGGAATTGATGCTGCATAATATCTATCAACACTAGCTACAATCGATATAATAGTCCAAATCATACACAGCTTTGCTACTCTGATTTTCATTTAAAAGCTTTATTAAAAAAAGATACTGCCTAGAAAAAAATCAATCACTCGATTGTACAAGATATAGAAAATCCAAATTAAACAGGAAGTAAAGTGCTGGCTCTCAGATTTGAAGAAATCAAAATGCTAGCTCCTCCCCTCCCTCCCTCCTCCCCCAAGTAATATATTTCTAAAGTAAACTGCATGCACACACTGCTTCCAACTCATCTGGATTTCATAAAATGTAACCATAGTGTGGTTGGAAGTTAAGCAGCATTTAACATCAAAACACATTTTAGACATAATACTACTAAATTTTGCCCTCACTCTCAGAGCATTATTATCCTTGAACCCCAAATAAGCCAATTACTGCCACCCAAAGTGTGCTTCTTGGTACTATTATGGGTACGCAACCATCTAAGTGTCACCAACTAGTTTGCCACTGGAAATCATCACAGCAACAGTGAACAATTCTGAGGAAATCACTCAGAACAGACTGGAATTATAACTATTGCCCTTCAGCTCAGAATGGCTATGCTCATGTAGATTGCCAATATTGTAAACAATATGCTAACAGAAATATAGCTGGCCAGTTAGGCACTTGATCCAATACCACATCTTTGTCATTCACCATTAATGACAGATTTGGTTAATCCCCATTAACTAAAAAGTGATTGAGTATTGTAGTTATTTTATCAGGAATATTATGAATTAGAAATATAGTCTTTAGCAGTGTCAGTAGAATCTCACTATTCCAAACATAAAAGTGATGTAGTGATTGAATTTATTAAAAAAATTGATTAGTTCAGAAATTTGTTTTAAAAAGCAGCCAAATATTTGCATTTGGTTAGTCGAGGACAAGGCACTAAATCAAACATTTCAAATTGCCAGATACTTCTCAACTGCTAAAATGCCATTACAGAATATATGAAGACCAATGACATCCCTTTGCCATTTTCTTCTTCTTTAATTTTAGATAATAGCACCTAAAAGTACCATCTCTTTAGCAGAAAGTTTATATTTATTAACTCTTTATTACAGAACATTTAAGAGCCATTTAAAATACTTAAGATGATTATACATTAAACCTATTAAAATTATAAAAGAAAAATGTGCTTCTCATCTACTAAGGTTACTTTAACTAAGCTTTAATTCTCTACTAAAGGAATCTTGGCTACAAGAGAAAAACAGTCCTGACTCCCTGTTGATTCTTTCCCAAAACCTGCTTCTTGATGAATAAACAAAAATTAATCAATTAATCAGATTAATAGAAATTTTAAGGAGCCTAGAACAGAATAACGTATCAAGCTTATAGCTTGTTCCATTGTCTCATTCTACAAGCTAATTTTTGTCTTGCTTCAAAAAGGCTAGTAAAATTGTTCACTTGTTAATAAATTACACTAGGAACTCTTCAAAACCAAACACCCTTAGAAGTCAGAGATAACCTTACAATGTATTCTATTTGCACCTTAATGCCAAATGTTCAGTGAATCAATAGATTTTGAGACAAAAAAATAGCAAATTCATTTAAGTGGTGCACAAAAGCAATATCACTGCCAAAATAACATTTAGAAATTTTTTACATGTTTAAGAAAAATAAATATCAGACCAAGTTGATCCATGTGAACTTAAAAATCAATAACAAGAAATTTTATTTGTTCATTTGCTATTTATTTATTTTCTGATTAGATTTATACCCCATCTTTTCTCTGGGAGCTAAACATTGTATACATAAAACTTAGGATATAAATAAATAAAAATACCCATAAATAAAAATACATTTACCGAATATATCTAAAAAATGAATTTTCAAACAGCACATTGAATTGGGGGTGCTTTATTTTTAGTTTTATGAATTTAGTATTTTTCAATACTGGAGCAGTGCACCATCTGCTGGGTGAAAACTGTTGAGTCAAGAATTTACTTTATTACACTCAGGTTGCTACAAACTTGAAAATCAACAAGCACGCCTTTCTTGCTAGGACAATATAGATGCATAGCCAATGAGATACATTAAAAGTAAAGCCTTTAGTAAATTGAATACAATCTGATGAACACATCCATGTGGTTCCTTGACAGCAATATGGAACTAGTTTGTTGTTTTCTTCCTGATTTTATTTTATTTGAGGGAGGATGAGTTTCTAATCTATAATCATCAATTCATGTTGTAGCTAAATTGACGAGGGTTTCAACTTCCAGGTGCAACATCAACAAAAACTGTCTCTAATTCCACTTTCTTGTTTCCACTTGCTAGGGCAGTGGAAACAAGAAAGACAAAATAGATATTCGTTTGTGAGAAAAAAATGCTGATCTTAACCAAGTGTCCAAACAATCCTGTTGTATTGAGCTTAGACACATGGAAGCTTGGGAAGCTTAAGTTTGTGCCCATTCACCTGAGCAGCCATTCTGCACTTTTAAGTGATTTTCAGCTTTTGGTATTCTACCTTTAGTCATCTGTGAGGTCAAGAACAAGCTGGTCTGCAAGTGTCTCAGAATTAAGAAAGGCTCTTCTCATGTGGAAAAAAATTATGCCATACAATATATGGCACTTGTTATTTTTTCCATATGGGAAACGCCCTGTTTCTCTCATATTAAGATTTCAGTTACATCCAACAGAAAAGTCTAGTGAGATTGCATTGCCTTTTATCTTTAGAAAGCAAGAAATACCATGATGGGCATCACCACATGCTCCCATACCAGCCAGCCTCTTTATTAAGATAGAAACACCCTCCTCGGTCTCATCTGTAATGAAAAGCAGCTGCCCCAAAAATAAAATGGTTATTCTAATACCAGCATTAGTGAAAACTTTAAAAAAAAAATCATTTAGTACCTTAGCAGCAACTATGCTTAGTCCCATCCCATTTTGTTTCTTTAGTGTTACAGTAATTATTTCAGGTTCTTTCCTCAGTGGCTGAGCCTGATGAAACAAAGACAAAATATTGAGAACTGGCTAGAGCGCTTCCTGAGAAATACTTTTGATTTTTTTTAAACATTGACGTTATCCTGCTGTCTTAATTATTCTAGCACTAAAGGGTAAGAAAAAAGCAACAATGACTTATTGGGGGAATGCTTTTTTTTTCCACTGTAAGAAAAAGTTGGGAAATCCTACATTCTAATTTTTAAATATTTCATTATGATGCACATTAGTACAAATCTCATATTTCATTGCATAGTTTAACATATATATTTCTGTTGTCTCTCCTGTAATATGAATACTTGCCAAATCTGCATTGTCTTGTAACAGGTGGCTCTCATAATCTGCACCTTCAAAATATATTGTCCAAGTTCCTGGTGAGCGTGGATGAGGTGTTAACCTGCAAAAAGCTAAATTAAAAAGTTAATGGATAACAAGACTTTTATTTATGCTCAAGTAAGTTAATTAGAACACTAGATAAACCTCCAAACACTTACTCCATAAAGCAGAGGTATCAAACTCACGTCATCATGTTGTCATCACATGACGTATCGGAACTTTTTTCCCCTTTGCTAAACCAGGGGTGGGCGTGGCGAGCACATGATGCATCTGGCCCGTGAGCCGCGAGTTTGACACCCCTGCCATAAAGGATTCATTACTAAAAAAAATATTGGGCATCCATTTGGTAAGTGCATTTATTATAACCTATACCAAACCATAGATTTTGGGTGGTGTACAACAGAGTAATAAAAATACTGGACAAAACCGGCACTAAAAGTATAACTAAATAACTTTATTGTAGCCATTAACCAGCACAAGAAACTAAAACTGTGTAAAGATGGATCTCAGGATGAAATAAAAATATCACTGCACTAAAACAAATTGGATAATGGAATGTGTGAATGATTGCTGGGGATGAGAGAAAGAGATGCTGCTAGGAAACATTCAGTCAAGAAGGGAAGGAGCCTGCAATTGCTTAATTGTCAGGGAATGAAACTTAGGAAGAACCTACCCTAATTGACCAGACTGTTAAAAGTGGTGGTGGAAAGTTTGTACCTTCAGACTTTCAAGGTTCTGTAGCCTTTAAACAAAGTAGATTTAGCTCTCATCTAGTCATGTTTCCTGTCTGGTTTACCTGGGAGGGCTGACATGTAATTTCTACATAAATGCAAGCTTTAAAAAAAGCTAACCTCTTTGGCAGAGTGGATCTAAAAATTCCTGTAATCCATTTGGAATGTTTCGGACAACATCGCATGAGTAACCATCTTCTGGGAGAAGAAAAGGAAGCTGAAGATCAGGGTCCTCTTCTAACTGTACTTCTCTACCATCACTACGAGCTAGTTCATCAGCAGTATTTTCTGCAACAGCTACCACATTTTCTATTAATTCCTGGTGGAAAGAGAAAAATACACAGCATTGTACATGGAACTCAAGGCAAGGGAATTCTACATTTTTGCTTTCTGGAGTTAGTCATGTTATTAATTGATTCAGATACCAAGAGTAATTCATTTGGTAAGATATATTTCAGAAATATTAAATATCAGGAAGAAAATATTTAGGCTATAATCACTGTTCTAGTGATTGTTCAAGGAAACGGATAAACCAAATACAGATAGCCCTTGTTTAATGACCCTTGGGTTCAGAATTTTCATTGCTATTGAGGTGACTGTATAACTTAGTGATGGTAACTGCAGAAGCCCTGGCTGCACACTGTTGTCCGGTGAGGACCCCACACATCTCCTGGCAGCCTCTACATTTTAATCCTTGACCACAGGGGCATGGCAATGGCTTTAACTTTGAGGACTGGTCATAACCATTACAACTTCAAACAACAGCTGAACAAATGGTTGTTAAGTGAGGATATCAATGTCAGAAAATACAAGCTGAAAAAATAAGCATTGGATCATTAAATAAGAAATAAAGTTCCAAATTTTAGAACCATAAGATCTTCTGAACAGAGAATAGCCATCTAATCAACAAAAGCTAGCAGAACTAGAACAACAACATGACTATGGAGAACTCTTTATTTAGCACAGAATATATATTCAGATTGGATGTAATAGTTGCTCGGGAACATCTCCTCAAATAGCTCTAATTTTGTACATATTTAAAAGGTTTCTGACCTTGTAAAATGTACCATAGTGAATACATAATTCAGAGACAAGCTTTTAATTTTTTTTACAGTTAGTCTTCACTTACTGACCACCTGTTCAGTGCCTGTTCAAAGCAACAATATAAAAAGGCAAACTTATGACTTGCCCTTAATGTTATGGCCACTGCAGCATCCCTGAGGTCACATGATTGCTATATGGACAACTGGCAAGCAATCCACATTTACAATGTTTGCACCATCCTTCAGTCATACAATTACCATTTGTGACCTTCACAGCTAGTTCCCAACAAGCAAAGTCAGTGGGGAACCTGGCAGGAAGTCATAACTTGTGATCAGATGGCAGTGCACTTAATGACCCATGGTGATTGGCCTAATAAGCAGCTGGCATTGATGTCTTAAGTTGGTAACATCTCACGTTTCATGTAATATCTGTACTGACAGAATTGCCAACCCCAACTGCAGTAGGTGAGACCTGCCTATATATTCTTTGTAAAGAAAAGTACCATGCACACAATAAAAAACCCTCACTAACTAAAAACTATGTTTTCAATATTAGTATTAGCTTCCTTAAGTAAAAAAGTTTTCATTCACAGCCATATAATTTCCACTGTATTTTATTTAATGCCCTTCAATCACCCACCCACCCCAAATTTAAAAATAAGATTAACTTACTGGTGGGATAAATGGCTCATCTGGGGCACAGTGATAGTTTTGTAGCAATGCATGCAGTTGTAAAGAATTGAGTTTAAAACAGGTACTATTAATATTAGGAATGTCTTCAGGAGAATACTTATCCATAGTAAGTAATGTAGTTGCCTAGAAAAAAAAGATGATTATAAGTAGATCCACTTTGGATTGGTTTAACATTACACATCACAAACCTAATCATCAAAAATGCTTGAGTTTTGTTTGTTCCCCATCATTTGTGTTTGTTTAGGAATGAACTGCAAGACATATAGTATATATTCATTCCAAGCTAAATTAAAAGTGTATCACCACATTTCTATGGAAATTTGACAGGCAAATTTATACTGAAAATTGTTTTAAGGAAATTTTTATAAGCCAAGTAACTCCAACTTTGCATATAGTTCACGTTTATGATTTTTAAAAATTATCTTTTTATCCAAAGGGTAGTTAATAAGAGTGGTTCACAAAATATGATTGTAAATATGAATGTAATAAACATCATATACATCAAATGACTATTTAAATAAATAGTCAATAAAATAGAACATCCAAAAGAGATAGATCTCCTAATTTATGAGGGCCATGAGAGGTCAAGAGACATTTTTAAAATTAAGTATGTTTGAAGCTGGCACTTGGCTGCACAGCATCCCATCTTATCATTTATTAAATATATATGGAACAATAAATAGAACTTGAGATTACCATATCCTTTCTGGTTGCCAGAAGACAGAGACAACAGGAAAGGATTTTCAAAGTGTCTGTGCACTAATACTGTATTCACATTGAAAATTGTGCTGCATGATTTCCCTTTGCTAAATAGTAAGATCTCTTTATTTTCCTTTATCAAAAGTTCCCACTTTCTTCACCAAAACATGAAGTGAGTTTGAAAAGATTCAGTTTAGCAACAACCAAGGCTGTGTCTTTCTTTGAGTTCTGACTGACAAGAAACAAAGGAAATTTTCCTGCCTAGGTTATAATGGCTTCTACCTCTGTGTCAGTAATGTATCAGATAGCTGCCATCCTGTGACACTAAAATACACTGTGCATGTATAAAAAGCCAGTAGGATTTAGTTATATTGTTCAAAAACACTAGCCATGCAGAAAAGCTCTGATGCAAATTTCTGCACTAACAGAAAACTATCAAGACAGCTCCACTTGGGAGGAAAAAGAAGAAAAACAATGCCTCCAGAAACTTCCATCCATAACTTAAAAATGACAGTTGCAGAAAGAAAGGGGCTTTGTCAGAAATCATTTCATGCTGTTTGCATAGTAAAAATAGAATCATAGGATCACAGGGCTGGAAGGGACCTTGGAGGTTTTCTAGTCCAACCCCCTCCCCAAGCCACGAATCCTTATAACATATTAAATATTATAAAATAATATTACAAAATAATTTGAAATAGTACAAAATATGTTGATGTCACAAAGTATACTATGTAGACTTATCCAACCAATTACCAAAGGCATACATCAATTTAGAAATCAGCAGAGCTTTTGCACAATGAAATGGAAATACGGTACAGAACAGAATATGAACTACAATCCAAGGCCTAAAACTGTCTAGTCTAGAAGAACCAAAAATCAGTAACATTATGAAATTTACTAGATTTTTCAACTTTTCAGACCACCCCTTTAAAACTGCACAGAAAAACCAGCCATACTTAGACAAACTGTCCCAACAGTTCTGAATAAACAAAGGCAAGCGAAGGACTTCCGGTTGAGCTTCTTCGGCGAGAGACCAAAATCTGCGATCGTGCGCAGTTTCGATCTGTGCTCACCGCTGGAGCGCCCCGAGCCGGCTGGTTTCAGGGCTAAGCCAACCCGTAGAGGTGGTGAAGAGGGGGGAGACTGCCAGCAGGGTCAAGGAGAGTCGCATCTCTCCTCCCCAGCTGGCAATTACTCTCCTTCTCAAAGGCAGTTGCAGCGGTGGTCAGAAATGGCCACCTCAAAGAAGAACTCGACCGGAAAAGAATGTGCAGGAGGAAGATAAGAAGAGAAAGTTTTGGTTGACCGGGTTGAATCCTGGAATTTGAATTACAAAGAACAACATTGTTCCCAAAGAAGACTTGAAGCGGTGAATGAGAGAGGGAAGGGAAAGGATTTGGGTTTTTTTCTTTTCTTCCCTATATTACAACTAAGAGATTTAAGCAAGAAACCGGCAAAAATCCACTTTGACATTAACAGGTATTTAAACTGAAAATAAAATGTCAAAGGGATGATAAAAGATTTCTGGATTCTCAGAAACTTTTAAAAGAAGGGAAAAAACAAAAGGGTGAGATCTGGAAAAATGGAGGAGACCACCTGGAAGTGAAAGGAATTAACAGTGAAACTTTAACAAGATTCCTAAAAGAAACATTTTAACTGAAACTTTGTAACAAGATAAGAGAACCCCAGGAAGAGAAAGTAGAAAAAAGAAGCAAGAAGAAACAGCTTTGGATTATTTGGATTACTTGGTGATTTTTGGATTTTTGGCTATTGGATCTAAAGGACTAAAATTAATCAGGTGGTTGTTTAAAAGTTTTTAAAATGGTATCACTCTTGGAAGAATTGAGAATGGAACTTAAAAAACAGAAAGAAGATGCACAAGAAGGAAGAGGTTCTTTTGGCTTCATATTTCAATTTTTAGATATTGAGATCCTGAACTATGAGAAACAACAAGAAATGCATGTAGAACAAGAAGGGCGGGACAAAGAAGAAGCAATCTTCAATGACCAAGTATTTCTATGTGGGGAAAAGAAAGGAAAGGGAGGAAAGAGAGTGAAAAATTTAAGATCTGAAAAAACAACCCCCCAAAAGAATAGTTTGAAAAGTAATTACAACATTGGGAAGAAACAGAAGAGAGGATTACAGAAGAATCAGAATTAGAGAGACAAGGGGTCAAAAAGGGAAGGGAGAAGAAGAGGGGGAAGAGGGAAAGGAAAAGAAATTATCACGGACAGAAACAGGATATAGAGAAACAGGGAAAACGTACAAGGATTAAGTCTATTTAGTATAAGCCTATTTAGAAGACACAGAGATAATGGGTGAAAACTTAATTGAAAGGGGGATTCTGCAAGGGTACATAAGATAGTATTATTATATTAGAAATAGAAATGAACTTTGAAAATATGAAACAAGTGCGATTAAAACGATAGATAAAATACTCATTGTAACATAATGGAATGTTTAATAAATAAATGAAATAAAGAGAATGAGAGAATGAAATTAGGAAAGGAGGGGAACATTTTAATTATTATAAATGTGTTATAAAAATTTAAGTGAAGAGAAATATGGAAAACAAAATAATTATGGAAAGTTTATAAGTGTTCACAAGGAAGTATGATATTTAATTGAAAATAAATGTTAAAGATGTTAAGATTTTAATGAATATTAATGATAGAATTGAACTGGAATGGAATGAGTGCTTTAGTTACATATATGTAATTTTTTTTAAGTATATAGTGTGTATTTTAAGAATGTACCAAGCAGAATTCGATTGGAAGTTATGTGCTATATCGAATGTTATAATCTTAGAGGTATAAATTGAAGCTTAAATAAGAGTTGAATGGATAAAAATTAAAAGATACAAAGGTGTTATCCTTCAATTAGTAACTACAGGGAAAAATTTTGTTTAATGAGAAAAGAAAATATGAAATTGAAACAGCACAGACAAAAGTATAAATATAATGACTACAAAGATATCAAAACTTAGAAAAAGATATATATAATTGAATTTAGAAAAGAATGAGATAATTAAAAGTAAGATTGAAAAAACTAAGGGAAGGGAAAAATTGAGAAAATGTTAAAATAGTAATAAGACATGGAATAGAACACAAAGATGAATATGAAATTGAATTTGTGTCTGTATGGAGAAGTGATAACCCGGGACCATGCTATTCTCAAACAAAGAAAGAAATTTTACTTGTATTATGTTTTGTGAAAACCCAAATAAAATTTTTATTAAAAAAAATATACAAAGGCAAGCATCAGGCACAAATCAAATACTATGGAATCCCATATACTATACAGACTGAACATTAAATAGCACATTCTGAAAATCTACTCATAAGAATTAGATCCACAATTAAATATTGCGTAAGCATTTCCATCCAATTAAGAATTTTCAACAAAAACACCAGAGTTTATGGTACAGAAAGAAACTAGGTCAATAATATGGCAGAACTGAACAAAAAATATGGGGATTTCCTAATTTCCTAAAGCTATTTATTAAAGACAGTCTTATATAATTTGATGAATGTGTCTCAAAAGACTGTGAATTTATTTTTTTCTAATATACTCAAATACCTACTTGTACTATCCGACTGAGATGACAATCAGCAGCCAGCTCCAAACCCTGTTTTTCTGCCCAGGCTTCTATATGACCCAACTGTTGACGAATAATGGCTCCCCAGTAATGTGAACACAGTCCTGAATCTGGATCAGTAACCAATCTGTTAAAAAGCCACATGTTGATAAAATGAAATAGCTGGGAGAAGAGCTGTATTGTCAGGGCTGCATTCACTCTACATCGTCGCAACAGGGACATGGCTCCAGTTAATGTATGCAAGACATCATCTACAAGAAAAAAGTTGCACATGACAATTATTCAGCAATAAATTCTAAATGGAACTATGCAACTATGTTAATATCAAAAGCTAAAGTCTAAATGGAAATCTTTATTACAGAAAGATAACACTGCACATCTTACATTACTTTATAATATATCACATTATATTATAAATTTTTAATATTAATGTAATATATAATACAAATATATTGATATGGATAAAAATAAGCTTTTATTATTTTAATCCTTTACTGCTTTCTCTGACTCTCAGAAACAAAAACAAGCAGTTGGCTATTACTATTGTATAATTGGCAAGTCGCCAAATAAACATAACCAAATAACATAAACAGTATATAAACATGGGAGCAGCAGTCTTTTTCTTATTTGCATCTACAATCTATAATAAATTAAAGGTCACATGTTTCCCTATTTAAGCCATAAACAAGTTAATTAAGGAATCCACTGGTGATTTATAGTTATTACTTCTCAATATAGTTTTATTATTGGGTATTCCAAAACTGTACTCATCACGTCAAAGTTTAACTGAGTTTCTTCTAAACTTTGCACATTTTTTTTAGTAATGCTACTATCTAAATCCTACTCTATAGTATTTCAGTATTACATTATTACACTTTCAGTAAAATAATATAAACCACTGAAGTTTATGTAAAGTATCTTTTCTCCACAATGAAGTTATATATGAGTTTACTGTAAGACCCTCTTAGAGCATAATTATAATATTTATTTACACCTCCACAGGTAAGTTTATGTACTTACATTAACAAGTACATTCTAATATCACACAAACAGTAATGTAATGGATGACCTGGTTTTCAGTAGGTGGCCAAGTTCCCTAAATAAATGTCTTTATTTATAGGTAAATAAAATATTTCTTATTGTGCATGAATATACTCAGCAGGGTTTCCTAACATTCTCGTTATGCTATCACAGTCTTGTTAAGATAACATACGTTATAATTAATATAACATAAAATATTCTAACCTATTTTAGGTCTTTGAGGATTATTCTCTTCTGGATCATCAAGGAATGCAGGCATGTAGTTATTAAGCTCTGACTGAAGACAGTGGACTAAGTATCTGAAAAAGTAAATTGTGTAAAACTGGTGAATAGTAGACAATAAGTTCAAGCTTGTAGTGCTATGAAAAATAATTTCATCACAAACACAGAAAAATCTACTTCTCCCAGATGTTCCCTATATGTATCACCTCAAAAATAAGTCCCATTGTTCTGTGTTGCTTATTTTCAAACAAGTATTATAGTAGCATACATACATTGTGTGTGTGTGTGTGCGTGCGCGCGTGTGCATGTGCACACAGCCTACACACACACATACACATATCACAAGTTGTGAAACATCTGTTACATTATTTCCAAGAAATAGAAATATTCTGGCACTAAAATTGAATTAAACTATTAAAATTTGGACCAGCACAAATTTATAAAAAACTAACAAGTATCTCAAATTAATTATTTTACGGCACTATTATTTTTGTGGGAGGAATTACTGATTGATTTCCCTACTTAACAAGTTAGGAAAGGTGGACAGTGTACAGGAATTTCATATATTTAACATTTTTTTCCTGATTTTTCTTTTGGGGGGATAGGAAGGTATCTTAAATTTCAGGTTGTCTTTAGGGAGGGGGAGCTACCTTAATTTTAAAATACTATGCTAATCCAATATTCCTGAATACTCCTTAGAGCTCCAAACTGAATGTTTCTTTTATAATCATAAAACAATTTATAATTTTTCAGAATATAGTAACTATGCCGGTATATGTAACAAAATTATTTTAAAAATTAGAAAGAATACACATCAGAACAGTTACACTTTTAGAAACATATATTATTTTGTTTCCAAACAGATTTAGAATTTGTTTATCAGAATAAACAATTTCTCATTAAGAAAAATTAAAACAGATCCACAAGCATAAATTAGTTTTTCTTACTTAAATGCCATCTGAACTAGGTGTGCCAAAACATCTTGAGCATCTAATGTGATTCGGCTTAAGTCTCGATCCTGCTTAATAAAGTTTAGCAACTCAGATGCATTTGCCATCCAAAAAGCAAGTGCGCCAGCAATATTCTTCTGTTTCTGCAAATATTGAAAAAGGGCTGTAAACATCAACATAAATTCATCCTGTATTTCAACTTTCATTGTCAAAGGCTCTGTTAGATAGACCAGTACCAACTAATAACCAAACATATCTCAGTTACCAGATATTTGCAAAGAATTTATATGAAACTGCAAATAATACATAGTGCATGTTACAACTGCTTTAAATTGCAAGTTGAATGACAAAATATTAAATTTTCCAAATGCTGTTAATGAAATGGACTTAGCATGTTGTCATGAAATGTTGAAAGCTTAGATGTATGCATTATCTGGTAATCTGTATGTGTGTGAGCACACATTCTTTAATACACACTGTCACCCAGATACTGCCTAGTCACTGGCTTTGACACTAAGCAGTATCAAGTACTGATCTATCTCACCCTTTCCCGACCACAAAGGCTAGGCCAGGCAACCTCAGATGAGATCCAAAGAACAGAACCACAGACAAAATAAACAAAAAAGGAAGGAAAAGAACTTTTGTCATTACATCTCTGTACTGAAGTGCGTTAAGCAGAAATTATGAAATGCTGATAGGCTGCGCAGTCAAAAAAGGATTTTAGTACTGCATGTTCCAGTTGCTGAATGAGTGTTATGTTCAATCCAGCTGTAGAAATACTGTATTTTACATGGAAGCAGCATGAGAAACTGAGCTAAGCCAACATAGCTAGGATCAGTTCCCAGCAATATATCCTACCTGATCAACCTGGTCTACCTCCTGGAGAAAAACGAAGGAAATCAAACAGAAGAAAGAAACTTGTGAACAATCATGACATTTTGGAAATGAAACACTAAAATATGAAAGCACAAGACTTATGCTCAGTCACATTAAAACATTTCACTGGGGGAACATGATATAACTGAGAAATTAAAAGATATATATATATATATATATATACACACACACGAGAACTTTTTAGAGGAAGTCCAAGTTTTTCCTCCAGCCAATCTATATATATATGCATTAATACCAATAGTATAATCCTACATGGAATAATGTCTAAATCTGTCCATGGAAGCCAGTAAAGTCTTCTATCTTGGCAATTCTTCACCACACTAGCCATAACAGTTAGTAACAGTATTGTTAGAGAAATAAAAATAAAACCTCTACCAAACAAAATAATGCATTCATTCAAAACTTTATACTTAGGATCCAGGATCTCCTAAGCCACTCTTATATTACTTCTCTATCGTCTTCCTTACTGTTTCTCACTATCATTTTCTATGCCTCCAAATAATACTTCCAAACCACTGAAACAATGCTTCACAGCAAGATCAGAGACTTAAGACCACACAGATATTCAGTGTAAGCCATGGGAAGTGCTGCAGGAAAAGGAGGAGCAATGGCTTAACAGCTCACCTTGGCCTCAGCTGAAAGACTTCCTTGGCCAAGTGGGCCATTGTTGCTATTTGAAAGAATCTCCTACCAAGCAATACAAATGAAACTGAAATTGTACAAGAAAGGGAAAGAGGTTGCTAAGGAGGATAGGTTGATCCACCCTACAACAGTGTCTGCTGGGTAAGAACTTAAACATCAAACAACATTTCCGTCCTAGGCAAAAGAAGTCTCAATCAGGCAAGGAGAGAGAAGAGAATGGAAAGCACAAAAGGAACAATATTTTTGCTCATCAACAAACGAGAGGAAAGGGCAGGATTGTTGTACTCATATCCCCCCATAAACCATCATTGCAGATACAATTAAAAAAAACAAAATTAGATACCAAGCCAATCATAAAATAAAATATTAGTCTTTTGGTTAATGAAAAGTGATGCCAATTAAATAGCCAAACTGAATAGGCCTCATGTGTAGCTTTCTTTTATGAGTGGTTATGCTTCACAGTAAAGCTCTTTTGTTTAATATATCTTTTGTTTAATAGAATATTAGTGATATTCATGATTGTTTTTTTCAATTTTGACCACTACAGGTTTTTTTTATAAAAGATCTTTAGTGCTATAGCCCCTGAGGTAACAAACTTGTTTTCCTGTGGTATTCATGCAATCTAAATTTTTCAAGAGAAAATAGAAATGTACTAATTTGAATAAAATTACTGGGGATAGACAAGGGAGATTCTTTTTCTTACTTTTTATATTAGTTTCTTGTATCAGTTTTATACATATAATACAATTCTTAATAAAATTATTGAAGCAATAATTATAGGTCATTATTATGCAAAAATGTTAGCTATTTTTAAAATCTGCATGAAAGACTAACAGGAACTAGTTCAGACAATCACCATAAGTCAAAGACTCACTTAAAGTCACACATATATACACAACGCCTGTCTCATAGAGTATGAGGCAGTGCAGCTAAGCCTGCTAAATAAGATGGCAGCCTGCTTTGAGAAGTGTTCTACTGGCTTCTATTAAACAGTTTTTGCACATTGGTCCTTGCAGAATCATACTTCAGATCTGCAGCATCATTAAAGTAACAGGAGACACGTGAAGACAGAAACAAGACAATTTAAAAGAAAATGAAAATTGAAACACTTAATAAATTGGCTGCATAACTAGGAATATGTTGTTCATATAAATGGAATTATTTGGACACAGAATATAAAAAATAGAGTGATGCCCAAGTTATGGCACCACTTTATATTTAAAAGCTTGCTATATTTAATTATAATTATTATCAATAATAATGTATTGTCCCTGCATAGATGGATAACAGTTTGGATCCAGAGTGTTCATTCCATAAACAGAAGTAATCTTCCCATGACTGAAATCTTGCTGAAGAACACAGTTCACAATTCATCTCCTCCCTACCACTGCCACCCACATCTTTTCATCTTTTTACCAACTTTCTATGCAGTTTTTCTGGAGGAACTGACCCACCAGCCCACAATTTTTGGGAATTACCCACCTACAGCCATCAGCCAAAACATGTGGAAACAGGTTTTTTTATTCACAGCAACTTTCATTAAAAAGACAGAATGATAGGATAGTAACATGATTACCATCATATTCCACAAAACTGAACCAATATTGATAAGTCAAATAAAATTTGAAGATAATTTAAAATAGATTTATGTATCAATAAAACATATGAATATTTACACTATAACAGATCATTTGTACATCTTGTTCACCATTCCATATCAAGAAATATCACTGTTTTTAAAAAACATTTTCAATATTTTTTGTAGGTTCATTGCAAATGTCTGAATGCAGTTTGGTCACAACAAGAATTATTTCATACACAATTACAAATGGCATTATTATATCCAAAAAAAAATGTGCTTATGATCTCTAATATAAATGCAACTTGGTAAAAACAATCCTGCAAAAGCAGTCTTTTTTGTGCATGTAAAAAAATTAGTAGGTTCTCAGACTGAAACTCACTTGTATAACTCCTTCCATCATTTTCACCATCTTGTTGACTATTGCAATGACTTTATGAGTTCGTTCAGCAGGACTGATGTCGGGTCTGTACTGGCTTGATAATACATACCGACATGTCATGTACAGAACATAAGTAGGCGATAGCTTAAAATGAACTGTTGAGCTATTGGTGTAATTGATGATGGCAGACAAAAAAGCATCCTCAGCTGAAGAACAAAACAAAAAAGGGATGAACTAAGTCTGAATTAAAAAATCTAAAAAGCAATAGTAAGACACCATTTCAAGAAAAACCCCAAATTAAATTATTGGGATCACTTTCATAACTCAAACATTAACACCAAAATATTTTTACAAGATTAAATTACTGAAAATTAAATAGAAAAGGGCAATAACAGGCAAGTAAAACAAAATGCAAAAAGGAATTTAATAAATCTGTATCAGAGAACTCTAAATTATGTCCATACTACTAATTTAAATGAATTTTCCCACCATTAACCTAAAACATGGCAATTAATTTAGTAACATTTCTGATTAATTTTATACATAGACGTGGAGTTATTCTTGTCTTAATGACATAATCAAAACCATGCATTTAGCGTAAAGTATTTGATGCCATGATCACTGCTAGCAAATTGGCAAAATGGCTGCAGATTAATCCATTTCGTCTTTCTTGGGCTGCTGCTTTCTAAAATATTTAACAGAGTAGGCCTATCTTAAATTAGAAAGTTCATTCTTGTTAACTAAAGCAGATCCAAATAACTAAGGGCTCTGACCAAATCCAGGACAAAACTTGTATTTTTAAACTGGATTTTATATTCCAAATCATATGGAATCAGAAAGTTGCTTACAGACATAAATTTAAGCACTTATTTTTATATCATTATTGCAGACAGTCAATTTTTATATTCAAAATTATCAAAATAAAACATTTTGTAATAAAAATCATTGTTACTCTTCATTATTTTTGTAAACAAAAATACATACTTACAGTTTTCTCTGAATTCAACACTTGCAGGTAGTATCAATTCTGGACCATCCTGAAGTCTAGAGGCAGAAAGCAGATCTTCAGAAATCCAGTTCAAAGAGAATTAATTTCACTTTCAAGAGATAAAGATTTTTCCAAAGGTTTTTGTTTTATAGTTGTATACATTTTTATGTATACATATGAAATACAAAAACACTGGGACACAGGAATTATATTGTGTTACTTTCCTGCTCTTACTATTAGATTCACTGAGGTTACATTTGCTGAAAAGACAGCAAGCCTACTTGAATTGAAGGTCTGCACTATTAATGCATTTGAAGCACACAATTTCTTGTTCAAGTCAGTTCGCCATCTACTGTAATTAGATCATGTTACTTAAACTTATAACCAGGGAAAACAAAAGTGAACAAGAGGTTTATTTATAAACTATATTATAAAAGTGTTACATAAGGGAGGGTTGTTGATCAGATAGCTCATTCAAGAGTAGTCATCTGATAGATTTCAGTATGCTGCAGTACCCAGAAGTAAAGATTCAGGTAGTATGAGTAGAAAACAAGAGAAAGAATCTCAAAATATGAAGGTTTGGAGATTAAGTCAGGACTTTTAATTTGGCTGAATAATAAGTTATGAGCCATTGAAAATAGTAAATACTGGTATTATATGATTATGATGCCTATTTTTAATTTATTTCAGAAATACAATCTGCAGGTGAATAGATTACAGTACTTACAGAAATATTAAATGCTGAATAGTGTTTGCCAGCTTTAATTAATTTCTCACATAATACTAGATTTAGCATGGCTTAAAAGAAAGCTCCCCCCCCGCCCCCCCCCCCCCAAAAATTAAGGTTGCTTCAAGCATGTGACAAAACAAATGTAGTTTTTTTGGAGATTATCAATCATCTAGGTCATGGTTGTCTCAATGGTACTTTTCAAAAGACATTTGGACTTTCTTGTTTTTTTCCCTGAAAACATTTCACTTCTCATCCAAGAGACTTCTTCAGTTCAGAAAGCCATAGTAACTGAAGAAGCTTCTTGGATGAGATGTGAAACATTTCAAGGAAAAAAACAAGAAAGTCCAGTTGCCTTTAAAAAGCTCTTTGGGATTTCAGATTAGTTGTGATCCAAAGAAGTAAAAAAAACCTTGACCACCCCAAGACAATGGTTCCACCATGAAGAACTGAACACAAGTAGCTTGCTCCCCCTTTCACCACATGGCCTCAAATGCAAGAAGAGTTGGGAATTGTCCAGAAAGAAACTCTATAGGCAGGATATTAGATAAGTATGAACAAATTGTAACAAGCAAAAAAAAGGTACTTTACAGAACTTGTGGCATACTATGGCTGGAAATGGCTGTAAAATTAAAAAAAACCCACTAGTATCTTAATAAAAGATATAACCTATTATTTGGAAAGACTTTTCAAAGTTTTAGTTTTCTCCATAAAAATACATTCAACTTTCTTCTCAAACCCGCCTTTTGTGTATTTTTTAAATTTAAAAATAAATGCTATTTAAATTTTAGTCACAAAATTTTTAAAAATATTTTTGGTACCTGCCATCCTGCTTGTGATAATCTTGCTGTTCTATTCTGATCATTGGTTTCACCATGCTTCGTTCAGCTGTGCTAGAAGTTGACATTCTGTCACAGTCCAATCTATTGCTGCTCTGCTCCATACAACATATATCCAAAAGTTGTTTTAGTGGATTTAAATGTACTTTCATATAAAATTATGAATCCTCACAAGTTTCTTAAAGATTTATCTTATTAAATCTAGTAATAATGAACATGCTTTCTGAAAACTGTCTTTCTAAAACCAAATAAGCAAATGTTTCATCTGAAGATTCCCTGTCCATTCCCATGTGGCATTCCAACAAATCTCCTCCCAATATTTTGCATAAATTCCATGAAAATATTATTTGACAAATCAATGTGAAAAGGACTGCCTGAACTTTTAAAATAAATCATCAAATCATTCAAAGCACTAAACAGAAAACTGAATGGTTATACTGAGATGTTCCTGTGTTCTTTAACATATTTAAAGTACCAACTGTTAAGTCTGATAATAGTCATGCTATTCAGACTAATAATCTGTTACCTTGCTTGTAGATAATCCTGTTACACTTTGGATGTCTCCTTCCAAATCAAAAGTAGTTTCTTGTACACCTCTGAGAAGGCAATATACATTCAAGAACTACATGATTAGGAACATTCAGTAAACATTAAGCATAGATAATAAAAGCAATTCTTACATAATTGCTCAGTAATTATCACTGTTAGCAAATTCACTGTGTATTTGATTCACATAAAAGTATAAAGTATCTGAAAGTGTTAAGAAGAGGTGTGCACATTTCAGTTTAAACTATTTTGAGCATGTAATTTTACATGTCCTGGGCGTTTTGAAAGTATCTTTGGATCAAACAGAGCTGACCCTAGCTCAAAATAATATTCACATCTGAAGTGGAAACCTCTTCATGCTCAATATGATTCAAAATCTATCTTCCTTCCTTCCTTCCTACCTAAATGTAGGCAACCTTTTATTTTTTCCAAGCCTGGACATTTCATTTATCAGTTATTCTATCAATCTTGGATACAGTGGAGAAATGTTTTAACTACCATAGTATTGCAGCATCTCTCATTCTGAAATCTGATTTCAGACAATGTAAAATACCATGAAATACTTTTCCTCTGAATTTATTTCAGATCTTTTTAAAATGGATGGAACAAAAACTAACAGTCATACTTTCAGTGGATTTGCTAACAATTATTTATTGATTTCAAGACAGAAATACCATGATGTTATTTTAAAGATCTCAAATACTTAATTAGCAATTGTCAATAGGCGATTCTTTTCTTCTATTGATATAAACTGAATTTTAATACTGCATGACACTACATATTTTTATAATGTAACAAGAACCTGCAAGAATTGCAGTTAATGTATTTAAATACATTAAATGTATGTATATTTGCTTATTTCATCATATTACAGGGTACTGATACTTTTTGTTTATGTTAGTATTTTTTCTAAAAATAAATTAGCAGACCCAGTAGACTTTAGATCCGGTACAAGATTGAAACATCTTTTGTCATCCTAGAATAAGATCTATATTGGAATCTAAACAAAAGGAAAACAATTCTAATTGAATGACTGAACTTTACAGCAAAAAAAGTATCCTTCTTAGACAAAGATGAACTTCAGAAATACTAGACATAGGCAAAATGCCAATCAGTCTCAAAAGATGATAAACAGGGTAGGTCTTATGTTGATGAAAACAGACTTTTTAAGGATTATGCTCATATTGTACAACTCCCTACATTGGAAAGTAAGTGATTTCCTACCATTCAGATGACCTTTTGCCATCAGTTACTTAAGACCCTTTTAATGATGGTATTAGCTTCAGTATCAAAATAAATTCAATTTTAATTACTACAATTTCCCTCTTCTATAACTCTTCTTTGTAACTTTCAATAGCATCATTTATAATGTTTTTAGTTGCCATTAGTTGCCTAAATAGTCCATAAGAAGGGTAAAATATAAATGTATAAATTGATTTCTGCTAATGTACAGTATTATTAAAATCCTAACATTTAATCTAATTATGAAGACATGTGAATTGCAGAAGATTTCATACAATGGAGAACAATTACTGGTGAGCAAATTAACATCATTATCAGCTGGCACATTTCATAAAAGCACGATACATCTTCACCATCTTAAATAATTTTCTAAATTTGAGATTACTTCTTAAAAACTATGGATTTACCCAGATTTGAGACGTGAACTTTTGACCATGTGGCTTGCATCTAGACGTCCTTTAGGAATATGATCTTGAATGGGGTCCACAAATTTAAATACATGAGAGGTCCCAAACTGAACTTTCATACCACTTTGCAGCATAGTGGTCTCAGAGATCCGTTGACCTTCTACGTAAGTTTCAGCATCAATGCTTCTGGGAGTCACTGTAACAACTCCATCCATGTTAGTAAGGTCACAGTGGTGTGACTGAATTCCTGGACCAAATAACTGAAGATACAAATAATCAAAGCAAAAAAATCAGGATTTAAAAAAAAATATAATAATAAATGTGCAATCATCTATATAACTCAAAGAGATATCCATTTTTTATAATTAAACCACAAATTGTTGCAAATTGATGGCATATAAGCAATCATCAATCTAACATTATATAAGCAGAACAGAGTTGGTAGAGTGTAATGGGATCAACAATTAATTAATTGGTAATCAATTCATTTCTAGTAATAATGCTCTTATTGTAGAAAGTTACCATTTATTAATATTTAGGCTATTTCAATATATCACAATTTGCACCTTTAACTACTAAAATGTAGCAGTAAAATTCATTTTTTTAAAAACCAAATAATCATTTAATTTTTTACTATGTTTTATCTTGTTGAAGCAAACTAAGAACATTTATTACTAAGAAGTGATTGCAAACTTGAAATGAGATCTATTCCACAGTATGTTTCCAACCAATTTTATGCTTTTATTTATTTATACTAAGATGTGTTGAACTGACAATTTTCTCACTCAATCATTCCTGCCTAAATATATCCTTTAATATTTCTGTGGTTGTGAATTATTTTTGGAAGTAATTATAGTAAAATGTTTTAATGAAGACAGAAATCATAATTGACAAAATCTATGAACACAGAACAAAATGATACAAAAGTATTTTAGGAATCATTGATGAAACAGAAGCAAATTATATTTTGCATTTATTCAAATTTAATCTAAGTCATGATTAATTAATACAAGACAGTGCTTTAGGTTTGTGAGGACCTTTATCCTCTCAAAATCCATTTGGCACATTAGGAATCCAATACTTCTGAATACAATTTAAAATATATCACAAGTGCCAGCATACCAAGAATATGGATCAAGAGACATTTGTGGATTTGCTAATTTGAAAATCCACATTTTTGCAGATCACTATTTGGTGGGCTTTTTACAAATAGCAATAGACTTATATACTGCTTCACAATGCTTTACAGCCTTCTCTAAGTGGTTTACAGAATCAGCATATTGCCCCCAACAATCTGGGTCCTCATTTTACCAACCTTGGAAGGCTGAGTCAACCTTGAGCCGATGAGTGATCAAAACTTCTCATACAAGGAAAGTTAAAACATAAAGCCAAGATCCTTATGACTCATTTCAAAATGATAGAACACATACCTATATTAGCCTTGGACAGACTCAAAGATTGTCTCTTTTCCCACCTACTGAATACACAGTTGTTTATAACTTTTAACATTCAGGTACCTACTTTTACTAAAGCTATATGCTCAAATCAGTGTAGTGTATGGCTACAAGAAGGATTTGACAATGGTTTCAAAGAATCATTTTAAAATACTGCTCAATTTCATGTTATTAATTTAAGAATTTGGCATGTAATTGCCTTTCTCCAACATCACTCAAAATATTACATCTTCTTCAAATGTTCCAATAGACCTTTGTGCATTGCAATGTTAAAAAACAGTTCACATTCTATGCCCAGCCTCACTTGGAAATTTTGTATTACACATGTCACAAAGATATTTTAGCCTCACAACTGTAATTTGCAACCAATTACATTTTTGTTCATATACACTAAATGTGGCTTACAGACATAATTCTTTAATACTCTGAAACTTGAACACAACTTTTATGTAACTATTTGTCCCAAAATACTATTGCTCACCTGAATGGAGTTGTCATCAAATTTTTCTGTACCAACTTCTGTCACACTTAGTTGCAAACGATAGAGCTTTGGTTTATCTCTGGAGTCAGAACCATCTGTAGCAACAGATAATTTTATCATTAAACTAAGCAAAAGACACTAATTTTTAAAGATATAATCATGTACAGTAGTCCTTGACTTAATAGACCCGTAGCTTAGTGACTATTACCATGGTCTCTTCCAGGACTGTTTATGACACAGCTTCAAAGTTCTGATGCTCCAACCCACCCCCCGCTGAATCACATGATTGCATTTTGGGCACTCAGCAATTACAGTCATTTGCAATACCCCACACAATTTATAACAATTTATAACATTTGTTGCTGGAAACCGGTGTCTACTTCTGATTTCAGGCAAAAAATGCCCATGGATTCGCTTGATAATTGCTTCAAAAAAGGTTGTAAAATCAGGTATAGTCACATGGTGATCTACTTAACGACCAGCACAATGAATGATCTTAATTCTGGGCATAGGTCAAAATTCCCCATATTGTGTCAAATGCCACTTCAAAACTAATTTTAACTATGTTTAAAAATCAATTATCCTCTGTGCCACCAAAAGACTGCTCTAGAGGATCATCCCTGCCTTCTGCTAGCTCTCATTTTCTTCCTCTGCAGAAGGAAAAGGTTGCCTTTTATGTTAATTCATTCTATTCTACATATTTTCATTTGTGTACTACTAAAATATTAAATAGAATACTTCTTAAATTATCAAAGAAATCTTGTAACCAACCAACCAACATATATATGTAGGAAACACACTACAACATTAACGGGGACTTCAATCATCCTGATATCAATTGGAAAACTAATTCTGCACCACCTATATTAATTAGGCCCAATTCTGTTAAAAGTAACTGAATACTAAGCAGAAGTGCCTCTAACCAGGTTAATGCCTCTCTATGCCATTTTGTCTGTAGGTGAATATTATGGATTCAACTGACTTTCAGGAGCTATTAATATACTGTTGAGAAGGGGTGTAAAAACCACTTTATGCACAAATTGTTGCATGCAAAACTTATGTCCCGGATGTGCTCAATTGGATTCAGGTCTGGGGAACGGGTGGGCCAGTCCATAGCATCAATGCCTCCATCTTGCAGGAACGGCTGACACACTCCAGCCACATGAGGTCTAGCATTGTCGTGCATTAGGAGGAACCCAGGGCCAACTGCACCAGCATATGGTCTCACAAGGGGTCTGAGGATCTCATCTCGGTACCTAATGGCAGTCAGGCTACCTCTGGCGAGTGCATGGAGGGCTGTACGGCCCCTAAAGAAATGCCACCCCATGTCATTACTGACCCACTGCCAAACCGGTCATGCTGGAGGATGTTGCAGGCAGCAGAACGTTCTCCATGGCGTCTCCAGACTCTGTCACGTCTGTCACATGTGCTCAGTGTGAACCTGCTTTCATCTGTGAAGAGCACAGGGCGCCAGTGGCAAATTTGCCAATCTTGGTGTTCTCTGGCAAATGCCAACAATCCTGCACCGTGTTGGGCTGTAAGCACATCCCCCACCTGTGGACGTCAGGCCCTCATACCACCCTCATGGAGTCTGTTTCTGACCGTTTGAGCAGCCACATGCACATTTGTGGCCTGCTGGAGGTCATTTTGCAGGGCTCTGGCAGTGCTCCTCCTGTCCCTCCTTGCACAAAGGCGGAGGTAGCGGTCCTGATGCTGGGTTGTTGCCCTCCTACAGCCTCCTCCACGTCTCCTGATGTACTGGCCTGACTCCTGGTAGCGCCTCCATGCTCTGGACACTACATTAGACACAGCAAACCTTCTTGCCACAGTTCGCATTGATGTGCCATCCTGGATGAGCTATACTACCTGAGCCACTTGTGTGGGTTGTAGACTCCATCTCATGCAACCACTAGAGTGAAAGCACCGCCAACATTCAAAAGTGACCAAACCATCAGCCAGAAAGCATAGGAACTGAGAAGTGTTCTGTGGTCACCACCTGCAGAACCACTCCTTTATTAGGGATGTCTTGCTAACTGCCTATGCTTTCCACCTGTTGTCTATTCCATTTGCAAAACAGCATGTGAAATTGATTGTCAATCAGTGTTGCTACCTAAGTGGACAGTTTGATTTCACAGAAGTGTGATTGACTTGGAGTTCCATTGTGTTGTTTAAGTGTTCCCTTTATTTTTTTTGAGTAGTGTATTTAATGTCAGAAAAACCTAAAACCAATGTGATGGATAGATGATAGACATACAGCAGAGAACTGTTATTGAAATCTTTAAATGGTTTTTAAATGGTTCAGGTATTCTAAGATAAATTATTTCCCAAAGCAGTAATTTATATTTAAGTTTAGCTAAATAGAGATGTATAACATTCATTGATCCAGGAAAGGAACTCCAGAATACTGTATTTTCCCCAGAACTATGCTGAACGTCCTTCCAGATAATGTTGCTTGATTTCTACAGTTTGCCTTTTTAATAGTAGCTTTAAGATCATAAGAGTTAATGTAGCACTATCCAAGAGATGGCAGTTTAATAACCTTTTAAACCTTTATTTGAAATCACATTTCTAGAATAAACTGCATTCTGTATTTCTTTTAGGCTCCAGGTTCCCTCTGACTACATTCAGAATAATGCTGATTAGCAAATGGATCCTTGTGAAATGCTCCACGTACAAGAGAAATATTAAGCATTACATTATTTGGTTTACTTGTCTCAGGAGCCATTAGGAATTAACAGAATCTCTACCCTGAGATACCCAAAGAATTTATGAAGAAAAAACATTATTGCAATGAATATTACTGCAATGATGACACCATTAAAGCCAACCTCTTTAACACATTCTTTGGCTCAGTATTATAAACAGCAATGGATCATGCCCAGTATTTCCTAGTCAAACCACAGACAACTACAATGATCTAATACATATCGATTTTACAGAAGACAATGTTGAAAAAGCACTACGCAATCTAAAACCATCTCTATCTATTGGACCGGACGGAATATGTGCCTATTTCTTAAAAAGGCTATCCACTGCCATAGCTGAACCTCTAAGCATAATCTTTGGAAAATCTTTCAGGACCAGCTCCTTGCCAAAACTATGGTCACAAGCCACAGTCATCCCCATTTTCAAAAAGGGAGACCCCAGCCTAGTTGAAAATTACAGACCAATCTCTTATTGCTGCGTCACCTGTAAAGTCATGGAATCAACTGTTAACCAATCCATTATCCTCCACTTAGAGACAAACAACCCAGTCTCCAATAAACAATTTGGTTTCAGGAAAAAACTATCCTGCAATCTGCAACTCTTACATTGCAAAAACATATGAACTACACAACTCGATCAGGGCAAAGCAATAGACACAATCTACACAGACTTCTGTAAAGCCTTTGATTCAGTGGTACATGGCAAACTACTCCTAAAACTAAAATCTTATGGTGTCTCTGGACACCTTCATAACTGGATAGAAGCACTGCTGTCAAACAGAAAACAAATGGTCAAAATTGGGAGCGTCCTATCAAATTTTGTAACTGTCAACAGTGGTGTCCCCCAAGGCAGTGTTCTAGGACCAACTCTTTTCATACTCTACATAAATGACCTCTGTGATCATATCAAGAGCAACTACGTCCTCTTTGCTGACGATGTAAAGCTATTCAACACCACCGACAATACTGCTACCCTTCAAAAAGACCTCGACTATTTATCAGAACGTTCAAACAAATGGCAACTTCAAATCTCAACAAACAAATGCTCTGTCGTAATTACATATTGGCAAAACAAAATCAGAAAATAAAATATAGGGTGAATAGTCAAGACCTTGTTGATGATCCAAACGCTGTCAAGGACCTTGGAGTACTCATCTCTAATGATCTAAGTATTAGAGCCCACTGTAACTACATAGCCAAAAAGGCATTAAGAGTTGTTAACCTAATCTTACGTAGCTTTTTCTCTGGTAATATCACACTACTAACTAGAGCATACAAAACATTTGCTAGACCAATACTCGAATACAGCTCATCAGTCTGGAACCCACATTACGTATCTGATATTAGCACAGTTGAGAAAGTCCAGAAATATTTCACAAGAAGAGTTCTCCACTCCTCTACTCGTTGCAGAATACCTTATGCCAACAGACTTGAAATTCTAAACCTAGAAAACCTAGAACTATGCTGCCTTCAGTCCTATCTAAGTATAGTGTATAAAATCATACATTGCAATGTCCTATCTGTCAATGAATACTTCAGCTTCAGCCATAACAATACAAGAGCAAACAGCTTCCGGTTTCCCAGGCTTCGGCGACGGCAGGGATTCGCGACTCTGCGCGATCCCTGCCGTGCTAGCCGTCTTGGTGCCTCCGATCCCGACGGATCTGGAGGATAAGGCTGCCCTGTTGGGGCAGCCGAAGATAGGGGGGATCCGGACAGGGGTTGAGGGGTATCACAGACCCCCTCCCCAGCCGGCAAAACCCCCTTTTCTCAAGGCGGTGGAGCGGCGGTCTTAATGGCCGCCACGAAGAAGCCGACAACTGGCTTAAGAATGTGCAGGAGGAAGAAGGAGGAAGTTACAAAGTGCAAGTTCTTCTTGGCTGAACCGGGACTTTAAGGACATATTCAATACCTTGAAAACTACTATTTTTTTGGATGTTACAAAGTTCCCAATGGAGGTTTCCTAAAGCGGCGAATGAAAGTGCTGAAAGGGAAAGTTACTCTCCCTCCCTTACGGAACTAACAAATGGACATGGAAAATCTACTTTTTAACAGAAGGTAAAAATTTAAAGCCCTTTGTTACAAGTGGGAAGGGAGAGGCTTGGAAAAAAAAAAATTATATTAAGACTTTGTTGGAGGAGATGCCTTGAAGATTAAGAGACTAGAAGCTAACTGCCAAAAGGATTTAAAATACAGATTGGTTTTTTTTTCCTAACTGATATTACCCCAGGAAGAGAAACTGCAAAGGGAAGAACTTCGTGCTTTGCTTGGACTGTTTGATGACTTTGGGGAATTGTTTTAAGTTTGGAAATATTTTGGTTGGCTTAATAACAAGAAGAGGATAAAGAAAAAGAAGAAGAAAAAGGTTATAATGGCTCTATCTCTCGATG